TTTTTCGTTTTATGGTGGTCCTGGGTGCTGTGGAACACCACAAGAAGCCACATTGAACAGTTTCTGTCAATTCCAAGGAAGAAGTTCTCCCAGTGGCAGCGGTTTCTAGAATGTTCCCCAGGGGCATTCCCCACCAAAAAGGTACTTGGCCACCTCTGCATCTCCAAGTGGCAGTGGTTTCTAGAATGTTCCTCACGGGCTTTCCCCACCAGAATGGTGCTTGACCAGCTCTGGCTCCAAAAAAAGGTAGGTTTTTCATTTTATAGTGGCCTGGGTGCTGTGGGCCTGGCACAGGTGGCCACTACCAGAAGCCACCTTGAATAGCTTCATCAATTCCAAGGCAGAGGTCTCCAAGTGGCATTGGTTTCTAGAATGTTCCCCAGATTCTTTCCCCACCTGAAAGGTACTTTACCACCTCTGGCTTGAAAAGAGCTTGTTTTTTCATGTTATAGTGGTCCTGGGTGCTGTGGACCACCACAAGAAGCCACATTGAACAGTTTCTCTCAATTCCAAGGAAGAAGTTCTCCAAGTAGCAGTGGATTCTAGAATGCTCCCCAGGGGCTTTCCCCACCAGAAAGGTGCTTGACCAGCTCTGGCTCCAAAAAAGATTGGTTTTTCATTTTATAGTGGCCTGGGTGCTGTGGGCCTGGCACAGGTGGCCACTACCAGAAGCCACATTGAACAGTCTCTGTCAATTCCAAGGAAGAAGTTCTCCAAGTGGCATTGGTTTCTAGAATGTTCCTCAGGGTCTTTCCCCACCTGAAAGGTAATTTACCACGTCTGGCTTGAAAAGAGCTTGGTTGAGACTATAAACTCAAAACTCAAAAATCAAAACTCCACAAATTCAAGTGCTTTCTATAGAATCAGAATCCAACCTACCTCACTGTAAAACATCCATCCACTCTAAAATAAACTCTCAACCTTCTACTTTTCGAAGGTTCTGAGACTATAAAATCAAAACTCAAGACTCCACAAATTCAAGTGCTTTCTATAGAATGAGAATCCAACCTACCTCACTGTAAAACATCCATCCACGCTAAAATCAACATCTCAACCTTCTACTGCTCCAGGTTCTCTCTATAGAATCAAAACCTCTATCCTCTATAAAATGCCATCAATTTTCATATATTCTCTATAGAATGAAGGTGCTCAACCTAGTGATCCATCAACATATGATTCTCTCACCTCAGATATCCTCAGAATGGATCTTTTTCAGGTAGGTTGACTTTTGATTCTATAGAAAATCTCTATAAAATGCTAGGTCATTTTGGAGCTCGACCTCCCCCATTCTATAGGGTTTATTCCAAGGGGTATTATATACAGGTCTGTTGGGTTGGGCCTTGGGACTTGGGACGTCTCTCATGGGCAGTTCATCAATCAAAATCATCAGTTGATTCTGCTAGGTCTGCTAGGGACTCCATGGTCAACACGGTGCAAAGTGAGCTGGCTTCCCGTAGCTAGCAAATGCGATCAAATCAAAGACCCAAACTATGCCATGCAACAGAAAATTCCAAACCACTAAAGCAACCCCTAGTGGACCAAATGATCGGGTCTTTTGTTGCATTTGGGGCCCAACTTGATCAACTGGGTCCCGTGGCTCCTCCGTGTTGGCCAAACGCGTGCAAGTGGCTGCTCCCTTGGGTCCAGGGGAAGGCTCACCATGGTCTTCGAGCAAGTGCCGCAGGTCCCCGAAGTGTCCATGCAAATCCTGACGTGATCACGGGCCACCACGACTCCGCGTTGTTTGCCATTCACGGTCAAAGGACTTCAAGAAACTGTACATTACATGCATCTGGAACATGGGACTTGCAGATCGAATTTAGTTCCTCGTCGTCGAAACATTACATTATGGCAACAATCTTTTCACCATTGCCTACCCCTCAGCAAGCGGAGTAGAAAAGTTCCAATGACCTCCAAACATTCCTTCGTGCAAACCCCAACTCCAACCCAGTGGAGATGTCATTTCGCAACTTGGCTCCGCCAAAAGGGTCCCCGAGACATCTCTATCTGTCTGCCCCTTCCACTAGGTAATCTCGAACCTGCCACACGCTTCCAAGACCAAAGGTCTCACCAACTTCCAAAGTTCTGCTGTGGGAACCCACCTACTTAATCCACCACACAAACTTCCAAGTTTGCAAAGGACAGAACCCTTTTGCTTAACTCCGCAGTAGGGCCCATTCTACCTCCCCCTCGGCATCGCATGCAGAACATCACACACACACACACTTCACCAAACATCACCCAGGTCAAGGTGATTGATCTGAACACCCTGTCCGGTGTGTCTTCACTGTGCCACATCGACTCTGCACCCAACATCCGCACCAAGGAACGCCCACCACGACGAAGCGCGATCCAACTTCAGGAGCCTCGGGTCGATCCAAACAAGTCCAGTATGAGTTTGGGTGAGACCCAATTGTCCATCCAAAGTATTATCTGATGAAGCTAGGTGCACCAGTGCATATCTGAGATCTAAAAGCAATGCGGGTATACCACAGCTAGCTTGTTGTTTCCAATGTATACCACAGCTGCTGTTCTTATCGTTGGGTCCTCTGCTCGAATTCAGGTCACCACATATAGCCACAAATGCTGGGGATGTCATCCAGGTGCTGGTTCTCCTGCCTAGCTCAATGGACCCAATATCCGGTGGATGTGTGTATTGGTGTCATACTTCGGTTGGAGGTATTCAGTACAATGGTCTTGATCTGAGATCAGTTTAAACTCTCTGACGAACGGTTCTTGGAAAACGGGTATATATAACAAATAACATTGTGCATACCAAGCAATTGCAGTGAGTAACTAAAATTACACTAAAATATACTAAAACATAACTTCAGTGAGTGACTAAAATATACTAAAATACATCCAAATACGTTCCCCTTGCTCTTCTTGATTCTGTACGCCGCGCCATTGATAGCGCCCAGCTGCTGGGATGTGGATCACGTTCGGCTGATGGGAGTAGTGCACAATCACCTCACCCAAGGATTGCACCAGCGGCGAGCCGGGTGATCGAGCCGAGTGATCGGGTGCAGGGCATGTATTTCTCGGAGGGCTTGTGCATGGTGTAAAGATGACCACCATATGAGACAAACAAGAACAAGCAAAAGGGAGGATAGCACTTGGTACGCTCATGAAGGGGTCATGGACCCTAATTCATGGATTGATTTGAAGAGGGGGGCTATGATAAATGTTGCAGTTCTGTTGCACAATCGCGAATTCTTTTTATGGATTGTATTAGATCAGCCTTGCTGCCGAACCAGAAGCTATGATTTTGAGATGACCTACAACCCGCAGGAAGGGACAAAGGGAATGAAAGAATGTCCCCTCTGGGCAGGATTCAGAATGAATTAACTTATATACAGTAAAACTTAAAGTTGAGAAGACAGGCCTGAAATTGTTCAACTCCAACATCATTGGGCATCTTTGACCTTTCTCCAAGTGCAACTAGACCCACACTAGACCCTCCATGGCAAGGGACGCTTCGGACGATCTTCTTGCACACCTGGCGCCAAAGGGTCTTCTCCCAAGGGTCATACCCAAAGTCGAGATCGCGAGTCCAGCAATGCGTTCCCGAGTTTGCTTCACATGTCTGCTGTTCTTGCCTTTAAACATGCACAAATGGCTCTTGAAAAATCGAGCTGTTTTCTTTTTTAAAATTAATTTCGGGGGGTGAAATGGCAAACATCACATCCCTCTCAACCACTGAGGGATCTCTGGATCTGCAAGATGCGCTGCAGTCGGGGTCTAGAAGGGTCGAGACAGTACTGTCCCTTTTTGGGGACCAGGGTCTAGAAACTCTGGAGACTTTTTGGGGCTTCCATTTTCCATGGGTTTCCACTTTCAGGTCATGAAACGATCAAACATGTTTTGTCATTTTTTGGCACTCACTAGTCACTAATTCTCTGCGCCCAAGGGATTCCAAGGGATCCCAAGGGCTGCACTGGAAATTCCACTTCCAGCACCTCGATCGCTGGCAAACGCCGGGCTCTGAGATCCTGGATCGCCTGGCGTCGATGGTGGTCTGCGGCGCCGACCGCGTCCAGAGACCACTCGGCTGGGAGTCAAAAGAGATGTCTGTTGAGTGTCTTGATGTGCAGACTAACACCAGCTGCCCAACATCCATCACTGGTCCAATGTCTCTGGCCGCATCGGGCCGCGAATCTAGCCGCAAGTCGTGAGCATTTCACCAGGACATTTCATTGCAAGTCGTTCCTCCCAGTACATTGCACCTTGCTCACTTCCATGGGCGAAAGCTTCCAGCAGGACTCATCGCGAGGGTCCCAGTCCTGCGTCCCGGTGCGTCCCGGCGCGTCCGTCACGCGACCCAACGAATGGGTCGAGACCGCTTTCAACGAACCCGTGGCGTTGGTGTTCCCATTGGGATCGAGAGGGGCACCAATGGTCTCCCAACCGGATGTGTTGGATGTTGGAGGGCCTTCCGTTGAGCACCAAAAGTCCTGCATCTCACGTGGATCTCGGCCAAACGGTCACTCTGCTCGAACAAGAGTCGGCGTAACCAACGGGGAAGCGAGAGTTCAGACCTTCCAAGGGGCCTACAAAGCCAACCTCCAAACACAACACCTCACACTCCTTTAGCTGTTTGGGTGAAAAATAGCTAAGGTAGGTGTTCGAAGACCGAACCAATTTCAATTTCCTTCACAAAAGGCCTTATCTTTCACCCAGCAATTAAGCTTTAGTCTACTTCCAATTGATTTGGGTCTTTGCGGGCAACTGTTCAATACACACCCATATTATAGAGTCGGGAGTGACCAGCTTCCAGTGTTGACCAGCCTCCTCAGCTGTTCCCTGTCCTCCTCCTCATCTTCCAAATCTGAGGCCACCGAGGACAAATCGTCCCCCACCTAGAACAGGAAAAACACAGAAACATGACGAGTGCAACAGGGAATGAAGCCACCTGGGTACACAAGCATTTGGAAAATGCCAGTTGGATGCTGAGGATTCTTCAGCTGTCTCCATCACTGAATCGCTCCATGGCCATGGCGGAGAGTCCAAGCCCAGTCTCCCGTCCATCGTCTGTTTCGCTTCTCATCTGCAGAACCTCGTTTCTGTGCATGGAAGGTCCAAGTATCTCCATGTTTGTGAACATCACGTATCACCCAAAAACCATAAGCCGGTCCCCATCGAATCTAATGCTTGAAAAATTCCGGCACGAAACCAACCGCGGTTCCATCTGATCTCCCGCTTCCAAGCCTCAGAATCTCGATCTGATCCTGTGGAGGCTTCAAACTCATCCTGCCTGAGAGGGCCAAAACCGACCATGGCTGAGCTACGCTACACCACAAGCTGGACCAGAAAACAACCTATCTCTTGCGCGCACCGTCACTCGAGGGTGCAACTTCTGTGCAACACAAACTAGCCAAAACATGCCAAGACACATCTCCAGCAAGTCAAGGATGTGGATAAAGACCTTTCAAACTCCCCGTCACAAAATGCAGAATGCAATCGTCGTCGGAAACAAGTTTCACGGTGACCTACGAGATTGTCAAGAACTTGTCCTGGTGCAATATATTATTTCAAGTGGACACTTGGATCCAATCTCCAAAATCCGATCGCCACAGTTGCCTCATCCTCAGCCATACCATCCAACTGTTGCTGTTGTCCTGGGCCACTCAGCCAAGCGCGAGCTACATCCTCCCCCATGATTTTCAAATCCCAAATTAGAAGAGCTATCACTCCCAGCAATGAGAGTGCCTCCACGCAATGAGCAGGCTATGCCGTCTATCATAGATGGCCGATTTCAGTCTGGGGTTCACTTGGTTGGACTGGGTGCTGTACACAAGATTCACAATCACCCCCACAAATAATGGGTACACTACTAAAGCCCTGATCTTTCATGTAATTTGTACTTTTCATATCTTCTGATATCATTAATATAATATAAAACCTATCCTGCACATACATATATGAATTATATATATATTGTTTAATCGTCAGGAGCCAATCACGGAGCGCCAAGATCTCCTACCAATCACACGCCCAACACCTTGCGAAGCTGCTGATCTCTTGAGCTCAAAATGATGTGTGTTTGACGTCACATTAGAGTGCACCTTGTGCCCCCAAGAGTGCACCTTGTGCCCAAGGTGCCAGTCGGGAAGCGCTTCCGCCGCGGGCTTGCCGGTGCGCCCGTGGGCGAGGAGCGAGCCTTTCCCAGGTCGCTATTTTGGCTGGTGCTCCTGGCGACATGGTGGACAAGTGTAGGACGACACTTTGGGGGGATGGGATGGCTACAAAAGAAACAACCAAAGGGAAGGAGGCACTGATTAAAAATAAGAACAGCCAAAATCATGAGGCTTATCTCCCTTTCTTTCAGCTGACATCAATTCTTGAGAGATGTCGAGAGCATTGGTAGGGAAATGATGAGGACTTCTGACAAATAGCATAATATCCACTGTATATATATATATACATCGGTATATGCCATATTATGGTGAGGATGTGGCTGTATATATATATATATTACAGTACAGTTATATATATATCACATAACATCACATAACTCTATATGAAAAATAACACCTATCTAGAGGACCTATGCTTTCTCAAAGTCCGTTACTGCAAGATGTCCTGATGCAAATTAGTTAAGCAAAAACCAGCAGGCACTAAAAACCAGCAAATGTCTTCCGATAAGTGGCCCTCCCTGGGAGGATGACATGTTTTCCTCGCTCTCCAACCTAAGCCCATCCGAAGGTCGCGGAAAAGCCTTAAAAGGATTATATAAACAACAACAACAACAACAACAACAACAATGCCAGTCGACTGGGATGTACAATGTGGTGCCAGCTCCACGGGATGTCACCAGCTCCAATGGTTCCGAAAACGTCCCCGCGGAGTGCCTCGTGATGGAGTCGGAGCTGTTGCCATTCCGCATGGCGCCTACCCACGTCGGCCTAACCCCACCGGCCGCGCCAGCGCGACCGAAGAGGGTTCCTGAAAAGACCGTCAGCGGTGCCAGCAAAGCAACTTGGGCTCTTCCTCGTTGACCATTTTGAGTTGGACTCTTCCTCGTTTCAATCAACTTGGGGCGCTTCCCTTCTGCTCTGGAAAAGCCAACGCGGGCACCCCACTCGAAACGAAGTACCCGGGTGGTACCTCTGGTGAAACGGAGATCGGCGGGTGCCGGTGGGATGTGTCTTTCTCTGCACTGGCAAGAGGGGTCCTTGTGGCACCCGCACGGTCTTTGCCAGCCACCAAGTATTCACACTTGAGCCAACGAAACAGTGGCTGGGTTCCGAACCGCGGCCTATTTTTGGAGGGGGTACCTTGGGTCGCTCAACCTGCGAACATTCAAGCTGGCCTAGCTACACTAGGTCCAGGTTATACTATACTTGACGCAAAGCTCTATAGGACGACTTTGTCTCAAGAGGTCCTTCTGAAGGAAGAAACACACCCAGCCTTGCGCGGGTGACGAAACAACAATGTCCAAACGTTGATCACAACATACAACATTGTGCACCTGTGAAAGCAAAACACCATCCGAAAGCCAGGCGCACACAACTAAAGTTGGGGCACTGCAACACTCATCATACTCATCCAAAGAATCATATAGCCCCAGGAGGCTTTGGAAGACTAATTGGGGTGGCTATGCGAGTTTCGGGGAGGCTACCCCCGTGTCCCTTGCATTAGCTTCTGCATACTCACAGGGTCACGTTGGCAGAAGCCCACATCATCTTCCAATCTTCTGAGTTGCTATGTTTGACGGAATGTAACGAAACAGCAAAGAACGAGGATAGCAATGTAAGTCATTGCAGTGTGTTCAAAGCATGTGGCACCAAGCCAGGGACACATGTTTTGGGATTTGTCTGAACCATCCAAACTGGGGTTTGTGCCATGCAACTCAACTCAGTAAAACATCGCAGTCGCACACATATCTATTAATCATATAAACATGATTTGCAAATAAAAACAGGTCCCTCAACATGTGCCCGCTTTTGGTCACAGGGAAGCCGTCCAGCAACTTCCAAGCTAAATTTTAGAATGCTGGGGGTAGTGCCTTACCTGCTTATGTCTGAAAGAATTCGGGCTTTTGTTGCGAATTCTCTACCCTCCGAGCAATCCGGAAGCGAAACATCTGCCAGAACCACTGGGACCATCGACTCACCAAGACACTGCTCCCGACTCACCAAGCGTCTCTCCGGAGCCATCGACGTCAACGTCAAGGAACTTCTGGTGGAAGGAATTCCGCTGCCTGGAGCGGGTGGGTTCATCAAAAGAATCTTATTAAGATCTATTAAGATACCCCGTTTCAAACTTGTTACAGAACATTGCACAACCAAATGAACAACCAACTCTGAAACAAATCCAACATGCCTGCAGGGTGAGAAGATTCTACACGTGTGGTTCAGAAACACTAAGACACTACTTGTGTCGACGTCTGTTTCGCTGTTTAGCGCTTGCGCACCCTTGATATGCTTTTTCGATACCAAAAGCATCCTGGCAGCCAGCCAAACATCCACGTCGTGCTTCAGGAGGTCCACCGCAACCCAGTTGGACAGTTGGACACCGGGCTCCGATCGGTCTGACGGGCTCCGGACCGTTCATCGTAGAGGTCCACGATGTGCATGAACTCTTCCCGGCTGACCTGAGTCGCCAAGAAGGCAACTCGTTAGAGCACACGAAGGCTCTCTTTCTGAAGGGGTATGGAATTAGCATGAATGAATATGAATTAAAGGATGGTCGACAGTCCATGAACATCCCTCATTGAGATTCGACCCTTGATCTGAGTCAAATCCAGTTGCCATCGATGACAAGGACACCAAACACTATGCTTCTAGCGGTTTTCTCATCACTTACCGGGTTCCCTCCAGCAAAGCACCTTTAAACAGATCCTTTTTTCGAGAACAAAAACGCCACCCGCCACCCCCTCGGTTGTGACCGTGTCTCATCGGGGGAGACGACACGGACCTCGTCTCTCGCCCAGGAACGCTGTTGAACTCGGTGACCTGGCGAAAGATCTCCTGGACGCAGCACGCATGCGGGAGGCCGCTTCGCGCGGGTCTCTTCCAGTGACAAACGACGTTTGAAGGGTTTTTGGACCCGTGAGAAACAGAAAAAGCCAGGGTCGGTCTGTGTTTCATCATATTTGATCCATGTTGATCCTGGAAACATCTCATCATGCAACATTGAGCCGTGAGGATGGACATTTGGATGCTCCAGCTTGTCTTTGTGATCTTTCGGCTGGATGGGGCGAGCTCTTGGATCTGAGGACAAACTCAAAATACATGTAGACTCAGACTTGTTGTGGAATGTATTCAATGTATCCTGCTGCGCGTCCAATCCAACACCTATATGCTAAGTGGGAACACTTAGCAAAACATGATCGCAACAGTCGGCGAACTTCACTGTCCCAGTTTCTGAAGAACCAGGCCAGGTGCCTTGGGTCCCTTTTGTCCCTGGACATGTGATTCTGAAGAAGCAACCCCTCGGGGTCCTTAGTTTGGATGTAGTTGGGGGGTTGATGCACTTCAGATCACTTCAGAACTATCTATGATAGATTCCTGTCCTTATCAATGTTCCTAGAACGACTTCCTGATCAATGTTCCTAGAGCTATGGAGCAATTCACATCTGAAAGGTCTCAGGTGGACTCACCCCTGACAAATCACGGAAGCTGAGCTGAACCTCTGTAGAGGAATGGCCAGTTTTTTTTCCCGGTTTGAGTTTCGTTGGGAGGGTGCACCAAGCTTCTGGGGTCTTGGAAGCTCTACTAAGACACTCTAAAAGCACCCTTCATTGCATTGAAATCACTCCCCTTCAAACCAATCCCGTGGTCCTCCACCCATTGCTTTTCTGGACCAACAAAGCCTGGCGATCGAAAACACCTCGCACATGTTCACTGACTCGGCTGTGGTGTGATGCGGGTGGTTTCCACCACGCAATCTTTGGAGACTCAGGTCCAACCTGTGACTGCATGGCATAAACCATAATGAATATATTATATAATATAGTTCATGTATGAATCATAGCATCAGTAGTTTGAAAGGGGTCGCTTTCGAGTAGACCGTGGACAGCATCCTCCATGAACGAGGGTCACCTTTTCATTCCCCACAAATGTAGACCGCAACTGAAACCCAAATTTGAGTGTGGGCCAGGAATCGCCAAACGGGCGCAACGGACCCATCGATGGCTCGTGCTTTCAGAAGGGTTCTCCAACCCGAGACGGAGAAAGATTGGTAAAAAAATGTAAAAGTGCCGAGTGACAAGCGAAAGACTTTGGAAGCTGTCACATGCACTTTCGGTGGGTAGGAGGGAAGCAGTTGGCCTTGCACCCATCCATATCACTTTCTAGTACTTGCTACATCTAAATGATGGGAAACAAGTGCTCAGCATACGCGCAACACGATTCAATTGTCAGTCTTGTGCGAGCAAAGGCAAGACAAGTCAAGTAGATATTTACGTATAACAAATAATATGGTGAACACATAATTATCATTGCTGGTGTAACTTTATACAATATATATAGATATACATACATACATACATATGCAATGTGTACACATGAATAATGAATACACATGGTATCTTTCCCGTTGGTCAGGATGTCAATCTCCATCGGACATCGCTCATCTCGGAAGAGTGGAGCTTGACATGCCAAATGGGCCAATTCGCGCCAAGGCATTGCAAGCCACATCATGATGGATGGCATTGTCCTCAAGCGGAGAAAGTGCTTGAAAACAAGGTGCCCTGGAGCTGATCATGCCTTCGTGGTGGGAACGTGCCATGGTGAGTTCCAAATCACGTGTTCGGTTTGGGGAGAGATGGAACCTGGAATCCAAAATGCTGGAGCCGGTTGAGAAAACATCCATGGACGAGTGCTGTGTGAAGAGGTGCGCCACCAGTAAAAACACAAAGCTTCATCTCCCTTGCTACTAGGAGGAAGGACGCTACTAGGGGTTCCTGGCCTTGCTACTAGGAGCAAGGACGCTATACTAGGGGCTCCTGGCTTTGGACCTACCTTTTCGGCATCACACACTGGAATCCTAGCACAGATCGGACAGGTCCCGCGGGGGTCCGCCACGTGGACCGAATCGAACAAGGGGCAACTCTGTGGCTCCACGCATTCTCAAAGCGGTTCCAAACACTTTGGAACCTCGCCATCTCCATGCCGCACTTCAAGACACACTCATCCTCCTCTTCCACATGTGCCTTAGGACCGCCCAGACTGACTGACCGATGGATTCACGAGAAAAAGGACACTGAGTCGGTTTGCAGCCTGGATCTACCAAGGAGCAGCGGTCCTGAAGTCTTCGGACGACAGTAGGACCATAGGAGGGACATGGGACCATTAAATTGGATGTTTCGCTGGCACGCTCAAATGAACACTAATATGTCCTTCCACAACCAGCCACTTCTTGCCCCCCATACACACCAGGGGAAGGCTGGCTAGGAGGAGCTCAGCATGGGGGCAGCAGCCTACCGAGTGGAGGAAAGCCCATAGCCGAGCCGATAGCATTTCAGGTGCTATCATCCACCCTCTTTCGCTCCTGTACGACAAAGCAGTTCCCGAGTCGGACGGGTTCTCAGGAGACTTGGATGGTATGGCAGATTTGTTGGATCCCAAGCCTTTTGCAAGTAGAATCGGCAAAAGCATTGCTGCAAGTTAATACACAAGCACATCTAGTATTTCTATAGTATGCAAATTAAATGTGTACATCTATATATATACAGGTATACAGTTATGTAAACCGTCTATTTACATCGTGCAAGTTGCAAGGGTGGGACCCGGAAGGATGATGGACCACCGGCCCCCACTGCACCATTTAGACCTTCAGTCTGGCTTTCTGACTTGGGGGCATGCGAGTTTCCAACAGTTACATGCGAGTTTCCAGCACCATTCCGCACAAGAGTTCTCCCAGGCGCAGGGTCTTCGATGGAGAACAACTCCTCGCTAAAGAAATTCAAGTCGAAGCTGGCCGTTGGTGCCTCGAAGCACAGCAAGCAAAAGTGGGACAGTGGCACCCCAAATCCATCATGATTGGCACAACAGCTCCAATTACATCAACGATATAGATGCTACTAACAAATGATTCGATTACTATAACTGTAGCTTACTAATTTGCTCTCTTCGTGATCGGCACTTTGAGAGTCTTTCCTGAATGTTGGATTGAAAACATGTCAAATCATGCAAGCACACGATTTCCGCAGTCTAGCTGAAGCATGCTGTAAGTGGATCTCAGGTGTCCCCTAACATGTTGGTTGCGCATTCTGTTGTGTTAGTTAGTCAAGTCGTAAACCTGCCTGGGACCTTCTGCGCAACCATATCCGTACAATGAGCTTCTCGTCACGTGTGAACGCAGGAGCAGACCACGGAACGTCGTGTGACTGGGGGAAATCCTGTCCAGCCTTCACCAGCTGCAACTCCACAGCAGGCACGCTCTTCTTCCGTGCAAGCTGCAAGTCCATGCCCGTGCCGCTCTTCCTCCGGCCCTGCGAAGGCCCCCAAACAGGGCGGACCAGCATCACGGCCATCTTAAGAGCTTTCCTCTTTGAGGGGTGTTTTTGTTCCAGTTGAGGGCACGCTGCAAAAGTCCTGCTTTTTACCAACACCCGGCCCTTCCCTGTTTCCATGATGTTGGCAAAACACATGACATTCTCCAGAAATCTGCACTGCTCACTGCTCACCGAGCAAAAAACCTCCATGTCCGCGGCCCCCCCGCTGGCGTTTTGGAACCCCGTCGCAACCTCCCCGACTCCACCTTCATGTCCTGCAACTTGGGCCGTTCCGCTTCCTTCTCCGCCGTCTGTCCCTGCCCGGTACTTCTCTCCGAATCGCAGATGTGGGAGGCATCGATGTGAGATCGAAGCAGGATGTTCAGGCTCCATTGCAAGGTTTTGATGCACTTCTAGCTGTGGGTTTTTGAACATGCATGACATGAGATGATCCTAATTAATAGGTTGATCCAATTTCAAGAAACGACTGACCCATGCTCACGGGGCATCAAATCCACTCCAAAACAGTCGGCCCTCCTTCTCGCAGGTCCACCCACCACCCGACCAACGCCGACAACTGGTTCAAGCTCTTCGAAGGATATAGAGAATCTGAGAGTCTAACACCACAAGCTAAGCAGTGGAAGAGGACCTTCCGGGGTGCGCGACCAACGGGCGAAGCCTTGACGAGCTTGGGAACGCCCTGAAAATCTGTGAGGCTCTTCTTCCGGGTGGCCTCACGCAAATGAAAATAGATGAACCAGTTTAGGAACTCCCATGCGGATCATGATGCGCACACGGTCAAATACTGTGAACACCTCTTGAAAGAGGAGGGAATACCATTTGGATCCATTTGGTGCCTAAACCTCGGAGCTATTCTGTGGCATGTAAACATGCATTAGATCATCTAATTGCTGCACAATATATGACATCAAATGTCTACCTCGACTCACTTGATTCCCTCCTTCCCTCCTTCAGTCCTTCCCTCCTTCCCTCCTTCCCTCCTTCCCTCCTTCCCGCCTTCCCTCCTTCCCTCCTTCCCTCCCTCCTTCCCTCCTTCCCTCCTTCCCTCCTTCCCTCCTTCCCTCC